CGACGCCAGCGCCAACAGCAGCCCCCTGCGGGTGGCCGTCATCGGCGGCGGCCTGGTGAGTACGCGCCACGCGCCGCCCTCGCACTCGCACTCGCACTCGCACTCGCAGACGAGGCAGCTCCACTTCACGAGACGTGGAATGGGTGCGTTTTATAAAATTGTACAAAATGTAGGTGTCGAGGTGACTTCTATGGGTGCGTTTTATAAAATTATTCAAAATGTAGGTGTTGAGGGGACTTCTATGGGCGCATTTTATAAAATTGTACAAAATGTAGGTGTTGAGGTGACTTCTATGGGCGCATTTTATAAAATTATACAAAATGTAGGTGTTGAGGTGACTTATATGGGCGCATTTTATAAAATTATAGAAAATGTAGGTGTTGAGGTGACTTTTCAAATATCAAGTTGGTTTCACAGGTTATCATTGTTTTTGTGCTTTGGATGAAAGTTAATGTTTTCAAATGTTTTCTTAGATATGCATGACTACAGATTTACCATAATGACCACTTTTATGTTTCGTGCGAAACAATGTAAGGTGGTAGATATTATACAAGGCGTTAGGGAAATCAAAACTCGAAAATTTGACGTGCAAGCTTCCTTTGCTTCCTTACATTAAGAGCAATCAAGGAAAAGAATAACTGGAAACATACTGTATAATTTAATTTCATATTAATAAATGTATAAACGATGGTTCGAAGGATATATTTAATTTCATCATCTGGTGCAACGGAACAATGAGATTACAATAGAGAGACACAGCTATATTTAAGAAAAGCAAATGTATTAAATACTTTCTGTAATATTAAAACTTTATCAGATAAACAGTATCTGAAAACTATTTGAAATGTATGTAATTTATTAATGTAGAAAATATAGGATGAGCCAATAAATGAGGATTACTGACAGTTCTTTGAATTTATTGGAAAAGGTACTCTCCGTCGCGGTTAAAAAGGTATAACGTACCCTAACATTAAATGAAATATGAATAGTTAAACTATCACTAAAATAAAAATACTATTTAAAAGGTTTCTCAGCCCTCTTCCACCACCCCCAATTCTTTACAGCCAATCATTGGGATTTTTATTTTATATTTTGATATAAATTTAAATTTAAAAAAATAAAAATATAACAAAACTTCAATATACTGCGTCTTAGAACGATAAATGGTAAGAAAAATATCAAAAATTCCTCTTAAAACGCCTGTTGTTGTGAATTTATTTTTTCAAATGATCTGGTTCAAAGTAAAAAAATAAAGAAATTTTTTCCGCCTTTCAAACCCCTTATGCCTGTAAATATACTTAAAAATGTCTGCAGCATGTCCGTAAACTTATTTTAGTGACTGAAACCTAAAACCTTAAATGAGTGCTACTGGTGGAGAGGGTAATCCTGCATCTAAGAGATTACAGACGAAGAATAGAAATTTGCATGCTTGTCCCGTTAAGGCAAGAGGTTTTTGAGGATGTGGGAGTTCTGGCAGGTCACACATTTCGAGGAAACGGGTGGGAACAGACGGGGAAATGATAAGAGAGAGAGAGGGGGGACAGAGACGAGAGAGAGGGGAGAGAGAGAGTTCAGAGGTAGGTAAAAGGATAGGTGGGGGGACCATGAGGAAAATGAAGGGGGCAGTGGAACCCCGATTAAGTTCTTAGGCTGTACGAGTATTTTACAAAATAAGACATTTTCAGTACCCCCTCTCCATAACATGGTTAGTCAGAAAAGTGGAGAAGTGCTATGTAAAAATAATTTTAATGCAATACGAAATAAGTTTTACGACAAAATTAAAGGGGCTATTTTATTTTCTATTCATTTTAATCTTAACGTTCAGCAATATTGGATTGGATTCTCTGACACTGTACCAGGACTCTAACATGCTGTAACATTAGACTTATTTTGCGGGTCCAGTTTGTGTATACGTATTGATACGTTTACGAGAATATATACTCAGAAAAGAAAAAATAGGTTTTCTTTAGTCTGAAACAATTAAAAATATTCAAGTTCTTATTTTTTGAATTACAGCACAGTAATCGAAAACATCTGAAAAATTCACAACAACCGGTGTTTTAAGAAAGAGTTTGAAGAATGTTTTGCGTCCGTTCTCATATTCTAACTGATGCGTCCGTTCTCATGTTCTACTGTTCAGCTGATGTTTAGAAAATTGATATTTTTCGATAAATCTATAAAAACTCAAATTTTTTTTAAATTAATCTTATGTATCTTTAAAAAATATCGAAGGTCGTTAGGAACCACCAATGATTTAAACTTAAGACTTTGTGAGTTTCAAAGTGACTCTCTGATTTTTGAGGGCACACTACACACAAAGCCTCAAAACCTTATCAAAAAACCAATATTTTCTCAAAAATGGCTCCAAATGTTTTGATTAAGCTTTGTCGAATTGCGTAAAGGAAGCTTAAATGAATAGTATTGGTCGTACTCTCGTTGAAATCGCTGATTTTCCGAAGTTGCAAAAGTTCATTTTTTTAGCTTCCTATAGCTACCTATTGAAGGTAGAGACTTTGTTTCATAATGAAATTTGTTTCTAAAGACTGATCTTGAAATAAATTCATGAAATCATTTTTGAAAATATGAGTACTTTCCTTATAATTTTTGCATGAAGAGTAGACACTTTCAAAATTTTTTAAACAAGTTTTTTGTTCTCAAAAACGGCTCCAAATTTATTCTTTTTTTTCTTGTGTATGGTACAAAAATTGTGTTAGTCTCATTTCCGGTGACATCGCTGTAATTTCAAAAATTGCAAAAAGTCAACATTTCAAAACTACAAAGTTGAAGGATACTTTTACATTCTAAAAACAAAATATGTTTCAAAGAATCAGCTCTTTAAAAAAGGTCGTATGAATTTCTTAGATAATCAAGTGCGTGGTTTTTCCTTGAATTTAATGCAATTTATAAAAATGTCCTCAAAAACCGGTAATTTTTTCTTTTTTTTTTTGACGCATAGAACAAGGAACACTTAAAAGAAATGCGCAAGTTTTATTTTCATTTAACTCTCTGCATTTTGTAAAACTGCACATTTAGATATATTGCGAGAACATATGTGCGACTGTAGCATCTAGTTTTAATTCTTATTTCAATTTTCTTACTTTGATCCGCAGCCCTTTCTATTTAAAATCTTTATTCACTCATTGTTAGAGACGTGTAGTTAAGGCGGTCATTTTTCACATTTCTGCTATTTCTTCATTTGACTATCTTTGCATGTCAGTGTTTTCATTTCTTATTCGATTTTTGTTATTTAAGTTTGTTACCTTCTCCACGGTTCCATTACTCATTATTTCTTTCGAGGTTTACATTTCTCATTAACTTTTCAATGCTTTGATATTCTCATGTCAGATAGTGTATTTATTTTATTAGTTCCTTGTATAATTACAGTATAATTGTTATCTCGCTTCCCTTTCTGCATTTGGTGTCTTCACTGCCTTCGCATAGCAATTCGAATAAATATCTATAACGTAAATAAGCTGTAATATTATAACTAGACAATTTGCAATTTTTTTTCATTTTACGAATAATTCGAGAAACACTGTGCATGTTAGCACCACTTCTATTCTTTAATATTATTTTAACTCTGTATCTTCCAATATTTTATCTATAACGGTCCCAGAGTCATTTACGTTTCAATTTATAATATTAATCTGCAGCTAGGCACTGAATGAGTTTGTTTCTACAATAATAACCTTCGTTTGTTTTATTACTTTTGCAAAAGCAATATGTATTGTACAAATATTAGAGTGACGTTTATGATGTTCATGATTTTCATTCATCTGTTAGCGCACCGTTGTAGACACATTTTATCGCAACGGGTTTCCAAATTTCTTGTTCGTTATATAACATGCCGGTCGGCCTCGAAGTCGGCGAAAATCGCGTCAGCTCCATCTGCAGACACGCGGCTGGTTCACAAGAAGCAATTTTGTAGAAGTTTCGTTTGGGAAGACTATTTTGCTTAAATGTTCTTTTGAAAAACACATTTACAATTATTTGTACTGACATCACACAATAAATACTGTATTCTTCTCTGAGCAATATTGGAAATATTGATAGCTCTAAAGTACCTCTTTTTTTCGTTTTCATTAACATAATACTGGATCTACTGCATCTGGATATTTGCAAAAAAATGTATTAAGAAAATTGAACTCACTTCAAACTAAGCACAAAAACTAAAACAATTACTCTAACACATTCATCATCTAATACTTTTTAAAATAGATCTAATATATCTGAACTTGAATGTTGCATTATTTTTTTGAATTGTTTTTAATACTTTCTTATCTCTGTAGCTCTTTACCTTTTTGAAGTCTACAAAAATGTAATTATAAATATCAAGTTGCATAATGTAATTAGTTTGGTTTAATATCGTAATATTTTTGTTACAGTGATACAACAATGATCATTTTTCCTCATTCTACGCACATCGTAGTGATTACGTAGCTTCTTTAAGCAATCTTAGTTCAAACATTAAAATCATAATTTCAATTTCCAATTAATACTGAGATCTACAAAAAATAACGACCATGATTAACCGAGGATATTAATTTAAATTTACGAAAAAATTGGGGAATTGTACTTAGACCGCAGACTTTTCGTGAAACATCTCTCATAAATCTCATAATAAGTTAAGTACTAACATATGATTAACAAATTTACAATTTATCATTCACTAAAGACTATTCCTATTACACAAAAAATTACAACACTTACATTAATAATAATAATGATGTAATTTTTTTCAATTATTGCCATTAACTGCCACCGGTTCATACCCAATTGCAGTTCTAATAAATGTATGTATGTATGTACGAAACATATTAAATATGGCAGTTACATTAGAATGTCATTGAATTACATTGATAAATTAGTATGACAGATAATGCTACACAATTTATATAGTTTTATCTCACAGAGAACAGTTGGTTTGTGAATTTTACTGTGCCTTTGGTATCATATATTACGATGCACAATAGACATCCCTGAATTACAATATCAGAGATATAATTGGTTCAGAGGCAAAATTGAATTAAACGGTGCAATCGGTATTTCAGGTAA